CTGCCTGTGTTATCTGGATCTCCAGGTTTCTGCCAGTGTTACCTGGGTGTCAGGTCTCTGCATGTGTTGTTTGGGTCTCCAGGTCTCTGCATGTGTTATCTGGGTCTCCAGGTCTCTGCCAGTGTTACCTGGGTGTCAGGTCTCTGCATGTGTTGTTTGGGTCTCCAGGTCTCTGCCAGTGTTATCTGGGTCTCCAGGTTTCTGCCAGTGTTACCTGGGTCTCCAGGTCTCTGCCTGTGTTATCTGGGTCTCCAGGTCTCTGCCTGTGTTATCTGGGTCTCAAGGTCTCTGCCTGTGTTATCTGGGTCTCCAGGTCTCTGCCTGTGTTATCTGGGTCTCCAGGTCTCTGCCTGTGTTATCTGGGTCTCCAGGTTTCTGCCAGTGTTACCTGGGTCTCCAGGTCTCTGCCTGTGTTATCTGGGTCTCCAAGTCTCTGCATGTGTTGTTTGGGTCTCCAGGTTTCTGCCTGTGTTGTTTGGGTCTCCAGGTCTCTGCCTGTGTTATCTGGGTCTCCAGGTTTCTGCCAGTGTTACCTGGGTCTCCAGGTCTCTGCCTGTGTTATCTGGGTCTCCAGGTCTCTGCCTGTGTTATCTGGGTCTCCAGGTCTCTGCCTGTGTTATCTGGGTCTCCAGGTCTCTGCCTGTGTTATCTGGGTCTCCAGGTTTCTGCCTGTGTTATCTGGGTCTCCAGGTCTCTGCCTGTGTTATCTGGGTCTCCAGGTCTCTGCCAGTGTTATCGGGGTCTCCAGGTCTCTGCCTGTGTTATCTGGGTCTCCAGGTCTCTGCCTGTGTTATCTGGATCTCCAGGTTTCTGCCAGTGTTACCTGGGTGTCAGGTCTCTGCATGTGTTGTTTGGGTCTCCAGGTCTCTGCATGTGTTATCTGGGTCTCCAGGTCTCTGCCAGTGTTACCTGGGTGTCAGGTCTCTGCATGTGTTGTTTGGGTCTCCAGGTCTCTGCCTGTGTTATCTGGGTCTCCAGGTCTCTGCCTGTGTTATCTGGATCTCCAGGTTTCTGCCAGTGTTACTTGGGTGTCAGGTCTCTGCATGTGTTGTTTGGGTCTCCAGGTCTCTGCCTGTGTTATCTGGATCTCCAGGTTTCTGCCAGTGTTACCTGGGTGTCAGGTCTTGCATGTGTTGTTTGGGTCTCCAGGTTTCTGCCAGTGTTACCTGGGTCTCCAGGTCTCTGCCTGTGTTATCTGGATCTCCAGGTTTCTGCCAGTGTTATCTGGGTCTCCAGGTCTCTGCATGTGTTATTTGGGTCTCCAGGTTTCTGCCTGTGTTACCTGGGTCTCCAGGTCTCTGCCTGTGTTACCTGGGTCTCCAGGTCGCTGCCTGTGTTATCTGGGTCTCCAGGTCTCTGCCTGTGTTATCTGGGTCTCCAGGTCTCTGCATGTGTTGTTTTGGTCTCCAGGTCTCTGCCTGTGTTATCTGGGTCTCCAGGTCTCTGCCTGTGTTATCTGGGTCTCCAGGTCTCTGCCTGTGTTATCTGGGTCTCCAGGTCTCTGCCTGTGTTACCTGGGTCTCCAGGTCTCTGCCTGTGTTACCTGGGTCTCCAGGTCTCTGCCTGTGTTATCTGGGTCTCCAGGTTTCTGCCAGTGTTACCTGGGTGTCAGGTCTCTGCATGTGTTGTTTGGGTCTCCAGGTCTCTGCCAGTGTTACCTGGGTGTCAGGTCTCTGCATGTGTTGTTTGGGTCTCCAGGTTTCTGCCAGTGTTACCTGGGTGTCAGGTCTCTGCATGTGTTGTTTGGGTCTCCAGGTTTCTGCCAGTGTTACCTGGGTGTCAGGTCTCTGCCTGTGTTATCTGGGTGTCAGGTCTCTGCCTGTGTTATCTGGGTCTCCAGGTCTCTGCCTGTGTTATCTGGGTCTCCATGTTTCTGCCAGTGTTACCTGGGTGTCAGGTCTCTGCATGTGTTGTTTGGGTCTCCAGGTTTCTGCCAGTGTTACCTGGGTGTCAGGTCTCTGCATGTGTTGTTTGGGTCTCCAGGTCTCTGCCAGTGTTATCTGGGTCTCCAGGTTTCTGCCAGTGGTACCTGGGTGTCAGGTCTCTGCATGTGTTGTTTGGGTCTCCAGGTCTCTGCATGTGTTGTTTGGGTCTCCAGGTTTCT